CCATGATACATTCTGCTGTTAACTGGGAGTTAGTCATGCAGACCTAAGGAAACTCTGCAAACAGACCACATCAGAGCAGTGTTCCTGCAGGTGCTATGACTAGTTCTTATCCAACTGACTTGTGTAGTAATTTGTGACTCCTATTACATCTATTCTGTTGACTTGCAACTAATGTTATTTGGCACACTTTTTCAACTAAGGAATTAGAGTTAGGAATTATTGCTGGCAATTTTTTTGTGGAACTGTTTTTGGTGAGATGGTAAAACTAGATTTGTAATTTGTGTTGAATCAAACTTAATCGCAAGAGCAATATGCTAAAGATACATGAACAAAAACAGAACCACTATTCGTATTGTTGTCTTAAGTCTAAAATATTGCTCTCAGTTTAAATTTGGAATTTCTGTGCAAAATGTAATCTTAATTGTCAATCTTAACAAGTGCTCCAAGACGCTACCTGTGTTTACTTGTGTAAAGAGTGTTACATAAATGGAAATTTTTGTTGTTGTCCGCCTGGGAGCTACCATCAGGAGTAGCATTTTGTTTATGTAGAAAGAATAAATGTTCATTGTAGTATTTGCAAGCTCCAATTTGAGCAGGGCTGAGTTTCACTCATAAAAACATATTAGAATTGATTCTCAACTGGGAGTTATCTGTGTTTTTGTAACAGCTCAAATAATTGACGTTGATTCTGATAATTGATGTCTAATTCTTTCTGAAAGAATATGGTTTCAGTAAATATCCTTTCACCTTTTTTTAAAAAAATGGGAACTTTTGTTAAAGATGTTTTGGTTACCATGTTTTATTTCTATATATTCCAAAATGGAAAAAACATATTTTGCTGTGTCCCTGCACCAGCTGCCTTCTGAATATGTTGTTACTGCGAATAAAGAAACAATATACAAGTTTCAGTATTCTTTGCTGAATGCAGTTTTACGTGATGGTATCCAGGCTCCAAATAGTCTACCGGATATATATGTTCATTTATTTTTTATGATTACATTTGTTTCTTATAATGTGAGGATTGCAATTATGAATAATAATAATAATAAACAAGTAAAAAAACAAGTTATGAAGTTATTGAATTCTAGCCCAGATGACTCCTTTCAAACCCCCGCTGTTCAGAGGTGCGACAGTAGTGCTTTGAGTGTTATATTTCCTGATACGTCTTTGAAATTCGAAACTAGCCAACGATTCAATCAACCTGACAGAAATACAAGTAAATTAAAAATCAAAATATTTAGTATATTAGCAAATATAGTATACTGTTGCTACAAGAAACAAAATCAGAAGTTTGAAATTTATCATGATAGTTTCCATTTTGTTAACATTTTAAAACCCAGGGTCTAGTTCAGACAACTTCTTGTCTCAGCTGTAGTTAATTTATGTGGCTTAAGACCTTTAAAAACAAACAGCCTTGAAGAATGGCTTATTTTTGGTGTTCTGATACAACGCAGTTTTCTTTCATGACTTGGACCTTATTCACATCCAGTTGTTGGTATACCATTTTCAATTGTGTTCATCTTACCATCGTTCATCTTATAAAAAGGTAGCTTCTAATAAAAGTGGGACCTAGAACTGTTATACTGAACTGTTAACTCTTTACATTCTTGACGCTTTCCAAAATAAGTATTGCGGTATCTATTGCATCTGCTAAAGATTTTCCTCTTTGAGAGTAACATGTTTGCCGCTGTGCTTGCAAAACAATAACTGATTCGTGCGGTTACAAATGTGCATTATTTGAATCCTGTTTGATTTTAAAATATGTTTATTTGCTTTTGCGTGTAGCGAAATACATTGTTTAATGAAAATATTTATCTTAAATATTTAGCATCTTTCATTAACCTTGGTTTAAAAAGATATGCCACTGTGTTCTGGGCAAATTGTAAATTATGTATCAATAAGTGACATTAACAGCTTCCTGAGATACCAAAGAATTACTGAGTGAGTACTCGTGACATTATCCCAAACGCAGTGTCACAACTTTGATCGAGTCTCTAGTGGCATCAGACGTCAGTGTTGGAGCTGACTGTTGGCTGAAAAAACAGCCCTTGGAACTTGTTTCCAATCAAAGAAGCAGTTCGCATTCGTTGAACAGATGGTATTTTGACAGGAAAACTTCTTTCCATTTTGACGGGAAAACTTCAACAATCTTTGGATTTGGTGATTCTTTTTCCAGCCAGGATACAATTTGAACAGGATACAGTTCAAGATCCTGGTCCTCACCTTCCATGCCCTCCAGTCTTGCTACTCCCAACTCTGTGACCTCCTCACCCCCTCCACCCTGTTCACTCCCTCCTTTACGTGTGCTCTGAACCTTCTTCACGTTCCCCGCCTCGCCCGCCCCACTATTGGCGGGCAGGCCTTCCGCCACTCTGCATCCACCCTCTGGCACTCCATCCCGCAGTCACTCCGCCTCGTCCCCTCCCTCGCCACCTTGAAGACACATCTGAAGATCCTCCTCTTCAACTGTGCTTTCGATCTCCCAGCTTCCCCCCCCCGCCCTCCACCCTCCCCGAACCTGGCCCCCAGCTCGGGTCCGAAACTCTGTCTGTCCAGCGCCTTGGGACATCCTCCCGATGTGAAAGGCGCTTTACAAATGTACTTTTGATGTTGTTGTTTCTGAGATGAGTCTGTTCTCCCAGTCATGCAGTTCCAACAATTTAAGGTGACATACAGTATCTGGCAAATTGGGGGGTGGGGGGTGGTGTTGGGGGGGTGGGGGGAGGGAGGGGGGAAATGGGTGGGTGGGGTTTGGAGTTGGGGGGTGGGGTTGGGGGGTGAGGGTGGGGGGTGAGGGGGTGGGGGGGGGAGGGGGTGAGGCTGGGGTTGAGGGTGGGGGTTGGGGATGAGGGGTTGGGGGTGAGGGGTGAGGGTGGGGTTGGGGGGTGAGGGTGAGGGGGTGAGGGTGGGGTTGGGGGGTGAGGGTGGGGTTGGGGGGTGGGGTTGGGGGGTGTGGGTGAGGTTGGGGGGTGGTGTTGGGGGGGTTGGGGGTGAGGGTGGGGTTGGGGGGTGGGGTTGGGGTGTGAGGGTGGGGTGTGAGGGGTTGGGGTGAGGGTGGGGTTGGGGGTGAGGGTGGGGTTGGGGGGTGGGGTTGGGGTGTGAGGGTGGGGTGTGAGGGGTTGGGGGTGAGGGTGGGGTTGGGGGTGAGGGTGGGGTTGGGGGTGGGGTTGGGGGGTGGGGTTGGGGTGTGAAGGGTTGGGGGGGTGAGGGTTGGGGGGTTGGGGGGTGAGGGGTTGGGGGTTGGGGGTGTTGGGGGTGAGGGGTTGGGGGTGGGGGGTTGGGGGGTGAGGGGTTGGGGGGTGTTGGGGGGTGGGGGTTGGGGGTTGGGGGGTTGGGGGGTGTTGGGGGGTGGGGGGTGAGGGGTTGGTGGGTGTTGGGGGGTGTTGGGGGGTGAGGGGTTGGGGGTTGGGGGTGTTGGGGGGTGAGGGGTTGGGGGTGAGGGGTTGGGGTGTTGGGGGGTGAGGGGTTGGGGGTTGGGGGTGTTGGGGGTGAGGGGTTGGGGGTGTTGGGGGTGAGGGGTGAGGGTTGGGGGTTGGGGGTGAGGGGGTGAGGGGTTGGGGGGTGAGGGGTTGGGGGGTGAGGGGGGGTGAGGGTGTTGGGGGGTGAGGGGTGAGGGGGGTGAGGGGGTGGGGGGTGAGGGTTGGGGGGTGTTGGGGGTGAGGGGGTTGGGGGGGGTGAGGGGTTGGGGGCTGAGGGGGTGAGGGGTGGGGGGGTGAGGAGGTGAGGGGTTGGGGGGTTTTGGGGGGTGAGGGGTTGGGGGGTGAGGGTGCGGTTGGGGTGTGAGGGGGTAACTGAGGTGATGTGTGTAACAGCGCCTCTCATGTCGGGAGGTCCCGCGGTCTCGGGGCCGCTTCTGATCCACAGCGTCGCTCCCACACTGCGCACGCGCACAGTCTCTCACTGACGGGCGGAGCGGGGGGGGTCGCGCATGCGCGCCGTCGGCTCCTCCCCCTCTCCGCCTCTCCCCCCCTCTGTGAGGTCACATCCGGGCGGAAGTCTCCTTCTTTCGCGCGCCGACAGAGGCTCAGAGCAATGGAGCCCGAGGAGGAGGAGAGGCGCCGCCGCACACCGACCCCCACACCAGCCACACACTGACTGAGGGCACCGGAGCCTGTGTCTGGGTGCGGGCACTGTGTGAGACGGGGTTGGGGGTGTGCAGACACTGAAGGGAGAGGGAGAAGCGGTTGGTGGTGTGCAACCACTGTGTTAAGAGGGGGAGAAGGGTCTGGGGGTGTGCAGACACTGTGGGGGGGGGGGGGGGGGGGGTGTGGAGACACTGTGTGAGGAGGGGGGGGGGGGGGGTGTGCAGACACTGTGTGAGGGGAGGGGAGGAGGGTTTGGGGGTGTGCAGACACTGTGTGAGGAGGGGAGGAGGGTTTGGGGGTGTGCAGACACTGTGTGAGGGGAGGGGAGGAGGGGGGGGGGTGTGCAGACACTGTGTGAGGGGGGAGGAGGTTTGGGGGTGTGCAGACACTGTGTGAGGAGGGGGAGGGTTTGGGGGTGCAGACACTGTGTGAGGGGAGGGGAGGAGGGTTTGGGGGTGTGCAGACACTGTGTGAGGGGAGGGGAGAAGGCTTTGGGGGTGTGCAGACACTGTGTGAGGGGGGGCAGAAGGGTTTGGGGGTGTGCAGACACTGAGGGAGAAAGGGTTGGGGGTGTGCAGACACTGAGGGGGGGAGGGGTTTGGGGGTGTGCAGACACTGTGTGAGGGGGTGAGAAGGGTTTGGGGGTGTGCAGACACTGTGTGAGGAGGGGAGAGGGGTGGGGTGTGCAGACACTGAGGGAGAAAGGGTTGGGGGTGTGCAGACACTGAGGGAGAAAGGGTTGGGGGTGTGCAGACACTGAGGGAGAAAGAGTTGGGGGTGTGCAGACACTGAGGGGAGGGGAGAAGGGTTTGGGGGTGTGCAGACACTGAGGGAGAAGGGTTTGGGGGTGTGCAGACACTGTGTGAGGGGAGGGGAGAAGGGTTTGGGGGTGTGCAGACACTGTGAGGGGAGGGGAGGAGGGTTTGGGGGTGTGCAGACACTGAGGGGAGGGGAGAAGGGTTTGGGGGTGTGCAGACACTGAGGGAGATCAGGGGACTGCAGGCTGTGGGGGTGGGGAGGTGCAGAGCACTGCTGCTGTCTGGACTTGCTGTGCTGTGGCTGTGGTGGACGATGCCCCAGTGGCCGCTCTGATCTCTCCCAGGATGTTGGGGCTGAAGAAAACCTCTTTCACCACCTTGATAGTCGGCGTCTTCGTCGCCTACGTGCTCCACACGTGCTGGGTAATGTACGGGATCATTTACACTAAGTCCTGTGCAAGCCGCAAGACCAAGAGCTGCATCAAGCCCTATCTGGTTGAAAACCCCAGGATGCAGGTTAGTCTTCTGGACGCCATAGACTCTCGTGGCCCATGTCTCAGGCTGTGCCTTACACCTGAGTCTGCATCTCGTTGGAGAAAATGACATGCCATCACAGAAAAGCTACATGTTTTGTGTTTGTTTGGGGGCTGAATTCGTTAATTGTGTTTTCTTGTCTCTATTGTATGGGGTAAGGATTTAGCCATTCTGTTGCCATCTGAATGTCATGTCTATTATTGAAAGGGTGAACACATATTACAATGAGATAAATTGTCTTAACAGAATCGACTGTCAGCTCATTGGCATCAACGATCAGATCACTTGAAACTTGCATCTTAAACTTGCTCTTGAGCTTTCAGCCACTCGGTTTTGTCGTTCTCATTGGGTTGATAATGGTCCAAATGTTGTTTTATTGTCTGTTGTACCCCTGTAGCTTGTGTGAACCATGTTAATCTTAACCTGAGGATTTATTCAGGAACGCATTCCCAGCAATTAATCTGTAAAACTAATAACTGGTGCACGGATTCTTTAAAATATGCTTACAATGTGTATATGTGTGTTGTTGCAGCTGAGCATCTATACTTCAACAAAAAACAGTGTTACCGATGGAGCCAATCTAAACCTCATATTGAACATAGACCATTTTGATGTGAACTCTAAATTTGAGAGGTAATTAAATATTTTGTATTATACATGTATGGATACCCATAAATCGCTTGAGGGGCATAGTTTGAAGTTTTCCTATTTGTCTGTGGCTTAAACGTTTTGCACGGAATGAGGACACCTGGAATAATTACAGCGTCAAATGTTTCTTGAATCTTTTATTGGGAGAGAATGAGGAACAATTTGGGTTAGATGGGAAGATGGAGTGGCTTTGCCTCTGATAGATGGCAGATTGAAGGACAAGACTTGGAGCAGACAGGAATAGGGCAATTAGTTAATGGTAGTTTTAACTTTCTTAATACATTAAATGTCAGTGTTCACGTACAGCTTCGAGGTATTGTGTCACCAAGTGGTATTACCCATATTTCTGCGAAAACGACCCTAAGCTTCACTCTGGTACTTGGAAGGAGAAGGAAAATATTGTATACAAGATCGTAAACCAGATAGAGTTGCTGGATTTGTGTTTATTGGTGGCACTCCAGGATCCTTTTTTTAAAATTTGGTTAGCTGGGTGTCTGGTACATGCAGAAACCCATTACCAATGCGTAAGAGAATCCAAGCCAAACAGAGTTTCACATATGCAATGTGTACACTTGGAAATTTTCCTGTGTCTGGAATGGACTGCGTACTCTTTCCCTGGAGGGATGCACCCTGCCTATTTCCGTGGAGTATAAGGCAAGGACCAAGGTTCAGGTACCCGAGAATGTGCGTTGAGGTACTGCTTGAGTTTAACTTAAACATGTCCTCGCGACGTGAAAGATAGTATATAAATGCAAGTTGTTATTAACCCCACAGCGTGCTATTGAGAGCCCCGTCTGGTAAGTTTCCCACTACTTGTCCAGCAAGGGGCATTTTGGCTTGTCGGGTTAACAAGAGCCAAGTGATAAGAATCCCTGCCCTCAGTGACCGGAGTGAATTGTGAAAAATATTAAATGGGCATTAGTGTTAACTCATTAAAACGTATGTTGAGGCATGAACTATTTGAGCATGTGCTTGAACTATTTGTGGTAAGCTTAACATTTATTCTGGTGCACCTGCCCGCCATTGAACAGTTCAAAAAAAAAAAAACAAACAAGGATTGATATTAGATATGTGCAAATGAGCTGAGGAATGGCGCTTCACAGCATGTTGCTAACATTTATATTATATATCTTTCTGTAATTAGGAAAGCAGGATGCATCCCTCCGTGGAAAGAGTGTGCGTTCTATTCCAACAATCTATCGCTGGAATTCCCATGTCTACGTAGGATGCGTGGAAATCTCAGCTTGGTTTGGATACTCTTAAGCATGGTGATGGGCTGGGCCAATAGAAAAGTGTGGCCGCACTTGTACCACGGAATCATCTGCAAACGCCCCCCTCCGCTACAAACCCGTACACATGGTGTGCTGGGCCCCGCTACAAACCTGTACACACGGTGTGCTGGGCCCCGCTACAAACCTGTACACACGGTGTGCTGGGCCCCGCTACAAACCTGTACACACGGTGTGCTGGGCCCCGCTACAAACCTGTACACACGGTGTGCTGGGCCCCTGTACACACGGTGTGCTGGGCCCCGCTACAAACCTGTACACACGGTGTGCTGGGCCCCTGTACACACGGTGTGCTGGGCCCCGCTACAAACCTGTACACACGTTGGCAGTTGGCTGGAGTGTTATGCCCAGAAAATATACAGTCGTTTCACGTTACAGTATATTCTGTGAAGTGTTTGGCGACGTCTCAAAGATGTGATAAGGCGCTACATCAAATGCAAGGATTATTGTTATTTATTTGACGCCCGGCCTAAATTGATCTCCTGCGACAAATTCCAGGCAGAGGGCGAAACCTTGGACAAGTTTTCTTACTCCACACAGAGCCTAATAATAATCCCTCCAAAAAACAAAAACAATAATAAGTTGGTCATTTCAATCCACGACTGTTTGTGGGACATTGCTGTGCACAATTGGCTGCCGCGTTCGCCCACAAACATACAGTCAATTCACTTTACAGTCTAATCTGTGAAGCGCTTTGAGACGTCGATAAGACATGAAAAGCACTATATCAAATGCAAGGATTATTATTATAAATTCTTGGTAGGTGCTGCACTATTCAAATTAACATTTTCAGTATTTTAAACATAACTGCATTTTCAGGAAATATATGCTTGTGGTTTTAATCCGGGTTGTTTCACAAAATGTGTCTCTCAATAGAACCAATTAGCCCTCTGCAATTTTCTGCAAAATTTGACAAATGGCCTGCAATTTTGGGCAAACACTTCTCCAATTTTCTATTGACCCAGGTGACGTGTTCCCATGTGTGTCAGACACCTGGCTGACCCCAAAATTGCAGGATAGTACGTCAGAGCACCACAATCAACTTCGAGGCTGTAGGGCAGATACTGTAACTTGGCCAACTTTCTAATACGTTTACTGTAAATAGACTAAGCATTTACTGTGTCACCTGTGTTCATCAAATGCAAAAATGAATGAGGTGTTTGAATCTTTTCCTCTGAAGCAATCAATGATTTCTTGGCTGGTAGTTATAATAATAATTTTCTTGCTTCCTTGGTTATGGTGTTTGACTATCACTTATTCGGGTTGAGAAATTTCTAATTGTGCTGTGAATTAAGGGCAAATTCTCTGCTTTGATGTTGGAATGGACAGGTTTTAGGTGAGCACTACAATCAGACTGTTGTTTGCATCATTTAGCTCCAATTCTTAATAGGGGAAGCCCAAATAGATAGAGCTGAAATGTCTTTAAGGAAAAAGAAATATACTGAGAAAGTGTTAAAGTGGAAAGCAGAGGATTAGTAACAAAAGGATTTGGGGCTTGTCATTGAGGTATTCATTTCTTTTCACATCCTTGTTACTGATTCATTGTCTTACTTTTACCGTAATTCAGTTTTGAACAGTAAGAAGGTGTTGACATATTCTCATTGTGCCATTCTTCAGTATTTTCCAACTGTTTATTCCTCTGAATAGTTTTATCCAACATGCTCTTGTTCATCTTTTTTTAAACAAGGATTGTCAATATTTCGTTACCAAAGAAAACACGCAGCAATGGAACACTGTACGCTCACCTGTTTCTCCATCATGTTGGTGTGATACCTTGGCATGACAGCAAACATGTGTATGCAGTTGGTCACCTTACAGCATACATGGTCCCGAAACCTGAGGAAATCAACCTAATCACAGGAGAGACCGATGGTCAGGTACATAATGTTTTAAATAAGAGGGAACAAAATTATAATGTTCTGTAATGCAAAGTTAACCATATAATATTAAAAGCCTCTTGTTATATTGTCGTAAAAACATCAGGTCTTTTAGTAGCCAAAGTCTGATAATATATTACTTATGACTGGGAGATTACTTTCTCTATTGTTGGCTGCTGCGCATACATGTAACTCACTTGCCTTTTCCTCCTCCTCCTCTTTTTGAAGAACTGCAGTTTCTTTACTCTAGAGAAGCCCAGCTGAGATGGAGAACTTTCAAAAATGAATGTTGGATACAAACCTGTCATTAATGTGATGATTGTATGCCATATTTTAGAAGTAACTTAAGGAAAAGTGTTTGTGAATGCACTTATTTACTTATTTACTATTTGTAAATTTGTAAATATATATTTTTTAAAAAAGCCTATACGTAAGCCCAAATTGAGCAACTATAGGCTTCTTATGTAAATCTGCATGATTCTATTTCTCTGCACTTTTTCTGACTAGATGTCTAGTGCCTAATGAAAAGGATTGTGAGTGACTGCCAGAATCTTACTTTGGTGCAGAATATTGCAAAGCAGATCAGGCATAAGCACTGCTGTCCGTCTTGATAGCCAGACCGCTGTGTCCTGATGATCTGTTGTGGGGACAGCCTGCCCGTGTTTGCTCAGTTGTAAAGCATGAAGTTCACCTTAGAATTTGCAAATCTCATTATCTTATTGCGCAGTCTGCAGCAGACAAATTAGAATACGCGCATGTCACAGCAATTGATTCACAAAGAAAGGACTGACCAGATAGCGATGGATTTATTTGACCTGACTGTTAATTTGGTAAAATACTGCCATTGGTACATTTAAGAGGAAATGCATCTGAACAAAATTGTAGGACTTTCTTGGCAGGATTGGTTTGCTCTACGTTTACTAACTACTATCAAATAGCTTTCTTCTTTTTTATGCCCTTGCCTTCGAAGATGCTACCCCACGTGAAGGGCACTATATAAATGCAAATTGTTGTTGTTTTCATGTTTGGCTGCTCTTTAGCTTATCTGCAAGATACACAATTTTCCTTTTCTGAATCAGTCTTAAACTTTGTTTCTTCGCTAACTAGCCAGTGGTGACTAATGCTGAAACTAAAGTGTTTGACCAGCCTGCTGCTCACTGGAGATCCCGGCTCACCATCAATATTATGACAGACAACTTCACTTTTGATGGATCTGCTCTTCCAGCTGATGTACACAGATATCTGAGATTGTAAGTTTATAATAATTGGAATCCAATTTGTAGGACTTGTAAACCTGATTTTGTTGGAATTGCAAAATATTTACAAAATACTGAAAACTGGTTGGCGAGGTTTGCAAATCTGCTGATAATGAATCCTGAAACCTGTCAAAAGTCTGAAAAGGCGAGCAAGTAAATTTTGCTTTTTTAAATTACATATTTGTGGAAATATGATGATGCTGAGCATCAAAATTACAGCCTCTTCAATTAGAAATTTGATAAATTTCCTTTTCTCGTCAATATCTCTACTTTTCCTTCTCTTGGGGAAAGCGCCACACTCCATTTTGTACTTGGAGTAAGTGGCCATTATTCATTCGTATGTGAGCCTTGACTGTGAGTTTCAGCAGGACATTCAAGGGTAGGGGCAGCACATCTGAATTACGGTCCATACCTAAAGTCCAAACGTGCATCTTCCAATAGATAGTTATTAGGAGTGGAAATTCTGGCTATTTTTTTAAAAAAAATCTCCCCTCCCCCAAACTAAAGTAATACCTGAATATTGGACCTGAATATTGGACCTTCATGGGGTACATTCCTCTGTGCTTATGTAAGTCTCTGTACCAGATAAGCTTGTTGAACCATTGTGGGAAGCTTCCAGAATTGTAAGAATCTGTGCCACATATGATTAAGTATAAGCCTTTTAAATAATAAATTACATTTTTTAATATACTAATAATTTGCAATCGATGTAGCACTTTATCACATCTTCGAGATGTCTAAAAGTGTTTCACAGAATATACTGTAAAGTGAATATTGTATAGTGTTTGCTTTCTCCAATTTAGTTCATAAATTTATTTGATGAGAGTGAAGCATAGTTGTACATGTGAGGTTAGGTAGTTAGGTTATTTTTTAAGCGAGACACCTATTTGAGAATTTAATAAATATAAACACAATGCTGAGTATACTTTAAAATTTACAGACTTCATTACTTTGCCATGTGATTATGGCAAGATTCTTGCTAGAAAAATGAATGGTTAGATAATACACTAGTAAAACTGTTAAGACTCAAACATTTTGTTCAATTAAAATATGTTTTAACCAAATCATCAGTTAATTGGTATCCTCGATACACAGACTTGAGAACCTGCTTTAGAAAGAAAATGTCATTTTGTGCTTTATAAAAAGCATTGAACCAGATCTTGTTGTAAATTATTTGATTATTATTTGGTAATTTAGGTTGCAACACGGAAAGCAAGTTCAGTATCTTCCAATACTGTTTCTTGATGAGCTCAGCAATCGAGTGAGAGACCTGCTTGTAAGTTTATTTTTCAATTTTTTTATTCTGAAGACCTGCATTTTGTTTTAACTGTTGGCTTTTTCATTCTACACTCCGACCTTTTAATTTCCAGCACCTTGGAATGCCCTCCTGACGTGAAAGGCGCTATACGAATGTAATTTTGTTGTTGTTATTTTCACCAAAGAAAGCTTTGTGATCCTGACACCCCTACCCTCGCCGGCTCCACTGGCTCCCCATTCCCCAGAGGATAGAGCTCAAAATCCTTGCCTTCAAGTCCCTCCATGGCCTTGCTCCTTCCAACCTCTGACCTGCTAACCCCATATCAACCTGTCCGCTCCCTCCACTCAGCTCTGGCCTGCGCCATGTCCCCCGTCCCGCTCGCCTCATCATCAGCATTCGGGCCTTCAGCCTCTTTGCCCCCACCCTTTGGAACGCCATCCCACAGTCCCTTTTCCTCACTCGCTCCTTCCCTTGCTCCTTCAACGCACGCCTCAAAACTCTCCTCTTCAACCGCAGCCTTCGGCCACCCTCCCTGCCCTCCAGCCTCCCTGCTCCATCCCTCCCCATTCCCACTACTCAAGTCCAAATCCCTGACTGTTCAGCACCTTGGGACGTTCTCCCGATGTGAAAGGCGCTATGCAAAGGTAATTTTGTAAATTGAAACCAAGCGTTGGATGCCGATTACTGAGATCTGCTAGCTCAGAGAAGGGATTCTTCGGTCTCTGTAGTTATAAGCCTACTAGACCATCGGGGCTCATCTCATCTTCTGGTCTCTTTGAGTGACAATCTGAGAAGAAACTTGCAGCCTCTACATGGTTCACTGCCTGGGAAATTACCAATGCAAGCTCAGCTTTTGGCATGAAACACTGGTACTCTTAATCCGTATTGGCATGGTGTCTGCTGTTTCACTCACTGTATGAATGCAGTGGGGCATCTCAAAATGGTGTAGGCCTGAGCATCAAAATGATATAGTGATTCAGTATTAATCTGTGACGCAGAGGGTTGGATCACTTTTTCCCAGATGCATATTGAAGTAAATAATTTGAATGAGTTGGATGTTTAAATTGCTGAAAACTAGTATGTACCAGTGATATTTTGTGAAATGATGCTGGTCTTGTGCCACCAGTCAGAAACAGCAAATCTTAGATTTGAAGTAAGAATGTGACATTTCAGTGTAAAATTCTCTTTCAAGTGGTTATCTGAACAATAGCATGTTTCTTTTTCCTTAATGCTGCTAAATATTCGTTTACAGATCATAAATGCTACATCGATTACATTACCTTTGACTATCTGCTATGAAGCAATATCGCTAGGAAAATTACGGTTTTGGACCCACATGCAAGAAGCAGTATTTTCATTACAGCGATTTGGTATGTTCTGTCCTCGAAAATAAGCTTTCCGTGTTACAGTAAGAGTTTGTCTTGGTTTTTGCAGGACAGCAACTGATCAGGATTAGTTCTTCACATTTGTGTCTCATAGTTGATTAAACAGAGCAAGCTTCATCTCTGAAGTGTAAAGTGTTTAGAATATAATGTAATTTAGGTAAGGTGCTTACATTTTTTTAATTTCTTAGCTTTTTTTTAGGATAGAATTTTATTTTTCATTATTTTTGAATACGTTAGTGCTGGGAATGTTAGATTTGTCCACTTTGGGCATCAAGTGTCAAGATTCCGCTTGCTCAGATTAATAATAATTGATTGTATGCCTTATCCCATTAAAGCGTTTCAAAGCACTTAGCACAGAAAATTTGAAACAAAGTTGAATTTATGCTGTGATCGGCTTTTGTGAATGGTGGAGGATGGTGTAATTTAGCATCAGAAATTACACAAAGTGCTTGCCTGTTAGAAGCACTTCTACCATTGTACTTCCACCACAGAAAATCAGTATCAACAGTGATTACTCAACTATTATTTTACAAATAAGCTTTGCTTTATCCTAGAATTTTGGTTTAGCATTGAATTGATATTTTGGTGTCTGTCTGTTCACACTTTAGGTTTCACTGAAAAAGATGTTGATGAAGTAAAAGGAATCTTTGTGGATACCAACCTCTACTTTTTGGCTTTGACATTTTTTGTGGCAGCGTTCCATGTAAGTTGCAACTAGAAGAGAAAGTTAATTCTCAGAAAGCACCTTCTACATATTTATTTTTGATAATGTGACAAGGGATGGACATTTTCATTCTTCCTTTAAAAATAGAGGTGATGACAGCTGCGATGTAGAGGAAATTTTCTCCATCCCTGTATAATAATCCCTGTATAATAATTGCATAAATAGAAACAAACGGGTATGATCTGGTCGTCATCACCGAGACAGGGAGATCAAGGGTGGGAACTAAATATTCCAGGGTACGTGGTGTATAGGAAAGATAGGCAATGTGGTAAACGAGGAGGGGGTGTGGCCCTGCTAATAAAGGATGGGATAAAAACAGTAGAGAGAAAAGATTTTAAATCAGAAAAGCAGGAAGTAGAGTCAGTATGGGTAGAGGTACGCAACAACAAGGGGCAGAAAACTCTAATGGGAGTAGTTTATAGACCCCCGAACAGCAATCACAGTATCTCTCAAAGTATAAATCAGGAAATTAGCAGAGCATGTAGTAAAGGAAAAGCATTAATTGTGGGTGATTTTAATCTGCACACAGATTGGGACAACCAAATTGGGAAAAGTATGATAGAGGAAGAGTTTATACAATGTATTAGGGATAATTATCAATTATCTAGATCAGTATGCCGAGGAGCCAACCAGGGAACAGGCCATATTAGACCTTGTTTTGTGCAATGAAGCAGGGCCACGGGATAAATGGAAGCACATTAGCATGGATTGAAGAGTGACGAATGGGTAGAAAACAGAGAGTAGGGATAAACGGGTTATTATCGAATTGGCAGGATGTGACTAGTGGAGTGCCACAAGGATCAGTGCTTGGGCCTCAGCTTTTTACAATTTATATCAATGATCTAGACGAGGACATTGAATGTAACGTATCTAAATTCGCGGATGACACTAAACTAGGTGGGAGAGTAAGCTCTGAGGATGATGCAAAAAGATTGCAACTTGATACAGATAGGCTAGGGGAGTGGGCGAGTGGGTGGCAGATGGAATTTAATGTGGGGAAGTGTGAAGTTATTCACCTGGGTAGAAAAAATAGAAAAGCAGATTATTTTCTAGAGGGGGAGAGACTCGTTAGTGTTCAGAGGGATTTGGGTGTCCTTGTACACCAGTCTCAAAAAGTTAGTTTGCAGGTGCAGTAAGCAACTAAGAAGGCGAACGGCATGTTAGCATTCATTGCAAAAGGTTTAGAGTACAAGAGTAGGGAAGTCTTGCTGCAACTGTATAGGGCCTTGGTGAGACCGCACCTGGAGTATTGTGTGCAGTTTTGGTCTCATTTAAAAAAGGACATACTTGCCCTAGAGGGGGTGCAGCGTAGATTCACTCGGTTAGTTCCTGGGATGAGGGGACTGACCTATGAGGATAGGCTGAATAAACTAGGGCTATATTCTCTAGAGTACAGAAGAATTAGGGGAGATCTTATTGAAACATATAAGATTCTTAAAGGGCTGATAAAGTAGCCACAGAGGGTCTGTTTCCCCTGGTAGGAGAATCTATAACCAGGGGTCACAGTCTTAAAATTAAGGGTCAGCCTTTTAGAACAGAGTTGAGGAAACATTTCTTCACTCAGAGTGGAATTCACTACCCCAGAAGGCTGTAGATGCTCAGTCCTTGAACATCTTCAAGGCTGAGACTGATAGATTTTTAAAAAACAGAGGCATTAGGGTATATGGGGATAGGGCAGGTAATTAGATTTGGGTCAGAAGATCAGCCATGATCTATCGAATGGCGGGGCAGGCTCGAGGGGCCAAATGGCCTACTCCTGCTCCTAATTCTTATGTTCTTATAATCTCATTCAGAAGACTTACAAGAAGGTTCCAGAATGCAGAATAAATATTTAATGTTCATGTAATTTGAAAGCTTTTTTTAATATCGCCATTTGTTTTGTATTAGATCTTTACACATGCAGGGTACACTTGCCATTATTTTAACCCTCTCTGCTCACCTATAAGACACTTATCATTCTCCAACTGAGGAGAGCATGACTATGACTGCCACTTCTGTCCGGAGGAAGTACAGTACTTTGGATTCTCAGATAGTTTAGTCAACTGGATTGGGAGTCACTGACACAAAACCTGTGTCCTCCACGGCTTTGCTCCTTCCTACCTCTGTGACTTCCTCACCTCTACGAACCTGTCGGCTCCCTCTGCTCAGCGGGCTCCGGCCTGCTTCACGTCCCCCGGCTTGCCTGCCCCACCATTGGCGGGCGGGCCTTCAGCCTCTCTGCCACAGTCCCTCTGCATTGCCCCCTCCCTTGCCTCCTGCAAGACCCGTCTCAAGATCCTCATTTTCAACTGTGCCTCCTACCCCTACCCACCCTGCCCTCCACACCTCTTGATCCAATCCACCAGTTTGGGTACAGATCCTTAACTGTCCAGCACCTTAGGATGTCCCATGTTGTGAAAGGCACTATATAAATGTAACTGGTTGTTTCTTTACACTTCAGATATTCACAAATTTCTGATTATATTCTTTCTGACACATTTCAGTAGAATGTCCGGGACACCCAGTGCTTCTAATTGAGTTAGGAGCAGCACACAAAAACCTGAATTAATCTTATTTTGAAAATCCTTTTTGTAGGAAATTCCAAATGTAGTCATTTATTAATCAATGTGTTTTTGCCTTTTATGAAAAGCTGTATAGTTTTTTTTAAAAAAAGAACACTTGTTGTGCAGCTCCTGTTCGATTTCTTGGCCTTTAAAAATGATATTAGCTTTTGGAGAAGGAAGAACAACATGGTTGGGATGTCCACTAAAGCAGGTAAGTGTTGAACATAATTTTGAAAATAAACCAAAGTGTGTGTGTGTGTTAATAACGGACAAGGCACATACTTGTATGCTTGTGGTGTTCAGCCAAACTGATGCTGGGGCTTTTACTTTACTTAGCACTTGCAAATTGCTTTGCATGTACGGCTGGATGTCTAATGTCAACACATTACTGGAGCAATAATGTTAGGTGTTCACTTATCATCAGGTAATTGTCAGGCCTCATCTCAACAACTCTGACCCCCTTTCATTTGGTGTCTTTCATTGCTGCAAAATCGAACATTTTTCCTTATAAATTGCCTACAGAGATTAACGTGTATTGCAACAGCTGCTTGTTTACAACCAGTTCTTGTATTAATCTAGACCATGGGATCATTCTATCATTTCTTGAGGGGAGCAAAAAAAGTCAAAAAAGCAGCAGCAGATTACCAGGCTACACTGTTCACTAATAAGCTGTGTGTGGTACGAAATGGGAAGGGAAGAAATTAAAGCTTAAGGGATGAGGAGAAGTAACTAGTAAAAAATAAATTTTCTGCTTTTTCTGACAGTTCTTTGGCGGTGCTTCAGTACTATCATGATATTTCTTTTCCTGCTGGATGAGCAAACCAGTTTATTAGTACTTATTCCAGCTGGAATTGGCGCTATCATTGAGGTAAGATAATAATCCTAAATACCTTTGATTCTGTCCTTTTTTTAAGTGATGTTTTTAAATTGCATAAAATTTGCTCGCATTTCAGTTTTTTTTCTTTCAGCAATATTTTTCAGTATCTATTTTTAATTTCACATGAATGAAGAATATAACTAGTCCTGCAGCTCAGTGGTTAGAGCGCTCGCCTCGCAAGCGAGAGATCTGGGATCCTTACTCCACCCACCTGATAATAATCCCTCAAGAAAAAAAAGCAATAATAATTTGGTCACTCAATTTGACTGTGGGACACTGCTGTGCGCAATTGGTTGCCGCATTTTGCCCACACATTTACAGTCAAATCACTTTACAGTATATTCTGTGAAGCGCGTTGAGACGTCTAGAAGAAGTGAAAAGCGCTATATCACATGCAAGGATTATTATATATACCTGTTGTGTTTTTATTTATACTGCAGATCTGGAAAGTTAAGAAGGCCTTTAAGATGACAATCAAGTGGGTTGGCCTGAAACCAACATTCCAGGTAAAATATGAAGACTAAAGTGGAATGTGTATGTTCACTAAAGACTCCTAAAGACTTCATGCATATCAATATAAATTAGTGGAATGACAGCCATTATAATTAAGCCCCACAAAATGCAAACAAGACAAATTGTTGAATTTTACGAAGTAGTCATAGAAATTTACAGTGGAGGAGGAGGCCATTGGTCAAGTGCCTGCACTATCTCTCAGAGCAAGCTAAGCGTTCAATCCCACTCCCCTACTCCTGTACATCTTCAAACTTCATTTACTGCATGTAAATAGCATGTAATGTAAATTACATTACAATGTAAATACATTACATGTAGGAAGCTTCATCCTTACTAATTTCATTCTTAGTCTGATTGTTGGAGTGTGGTGTACGCTAGGGAATTGGACTGATGTCATAATATAATATGAACTAGATGTCATTTTTCATGCATAAAGAATAGACTTTTCAAATCTTCTCCCCCAATGCAGTGATTTCTGCTCGGCATAGTTTCATGCCAGCCACTGGCTCCCCTTGAGTATCTCACCAAATTGCCTGCTTATGCAAGTTCAGGTACTGAATCTAAGCAGCATATTAAACTGCAATGTCACAGTTGAACTTGATTTCTTTCTTGCATCCAACCAACCCACCTGCTCCCTCCGCTCGGCAGGCACTGGCCTGCTTCATGTGCCCTGCCCGCCTCACCATCAGCGGTTGAGCTGCCCCCACCCTCTGGAGCACCATCTCACAGTCCCTTTGCATCGCCCCTGCCCTCCTCCCTCCCCACCCCCCCACCCCTTCCCCCTGCCACATTCAAGGTCCACCTCAAAACCTTAGTCTTTGACCTTGCCTTCGGTTGTGTTCCCACCCCCAAATCGCTTGGCCCCCAACCCTCTTGATCCCAACCCTAGGCCCAGGTGCAAGCCCTCAACTGTTCAGTGCCTTGAGGCTTATTCCCAACATGAAAAGCGCTATATCAATGCAAGTTGTTGTATACATTTTGGTAGGTCTTGCTTCGCTCTTCCTTCTTCACAGCAACTGGGCATAGATCAGGGTATTGTTTGTGTTTAAACACATGATTTATGTTAAAAAAGTATGTTTCTAGATGTACAATAAAATATCTTACCTAAAATATTACTTTTGCAGTTTGGATCATTTGATGAATCTGAAAAGAAGACTGAAGAGTATGATACTCAGGTATTCTTTGGCTCTTATAGCATATAAATTTAAAAAGATAATGGAATGAATCTTCTATGAGGTAGTCACTTGGGTTCTAGTGGTCGTACTTGAAAAGCGCTATATCAAATGCAAGGATTATTATTATTGTACTTGGGTTATTTAAAATACTTCAACCCTGAGTCGTCTCCTGTTGATTAGTCCAAGGAAGATTAATGGAGATAATTTCTAGGTGAGAAACTGAAACAAGTTTGCAAAAAAAAAGTTCACCATCTCGATCCAAGATGTAGATTGAAGTTTTTGTATTTTTTTAAAGCAGATTGCAGTTTATATTTGTACTGATGTAAATCTATCAAATGGGTGTATCAAAGATATTCTCACAATTGCATCATTCCTTTTCATTTAGGCCATGAAGTACTTGTCGTATGTACTTTATCCACTGTGTTTTGGTGGAGCAGTGTACTCTTTACTAAACGTGAAATACAAAAGGTAAGGCTTTATTCAAATAGTTCTTCATTCAAATTGATTTGATTGTTTTGAATCTTAAGTGAAAGATTAAAATTAGATCTTTACAATATTTCACTTTTTTCACAGCTGGTACTCCTGGTTAATTAACAGTTTAGTTAATGGTAAGTGTCTTTCATATATTCTCTTAACTTTTTAATGCATTAGTGAGGTCAGTTTAGTGATTGATGTATATTTGGTGCGTCAAATACAGCTCCCTCCCCCATTAATAATGTTCCTCAGAAAACAGTTCTTTTGGCATTGAGGCATTGAACTGCCTCCAGTTGCTGGTTAGTGAGCCGAGCTTTGCAAACATCACTCCTGAGAATAGCTTTGGGATGATCCACGTTGTGCAGTTTCAGGTCCCATTTGTTGAAAAAATATTCAAATAGATTGTCAAATTGATCCCAATGTCTATTTCCCATGTTTATTTTATTTTATGCCCTCTGAAATGCCAATGTGCTTATTTCCAGGTGTCTACGCCTTTGGGTTTCTATTCATGCTGCCTCAGTTGTTTGTTAATTACAAGGTTAGTAGACATAAAATTGCAGTGGTTGTGAACATAAAATTAGTAAATCAATTTTAATATTGTATTGAAATGTCTGTATTCCTAACTTGGATTTCTGTCGACCTCTCTATTCTTCTCCATTGCCTTTCCACTCAGCTCCACCTAAATGATTCTGTCCTTGCCTGGTTTCACTCTTACCTTCTCCATCATCTCCACTTTATATCTGCTAACGGTTTCTCCTTCAGCCCCTACACCGTCAGTTGTGGGGTTCCTCAGGGCTCTGTCTTTTGTCCTCTCTTTAATATTTACATGCTCTCGCTCAGTAATGTCATCCAGAGGCATGGCTCCTTCTCACCTCAGGTGCTGACAGCATCACTGTATATGGATGTATACTCCATCTAACAGTCAGTCTGGAATGTCAATGTGTTGTTTGACTCCTGACTGTCCTTCAAACCACACAACAATACCTTGACCCGTTCAGCCTTCCCCACCTCCACAACTTTGCCCTCCTCTGCCACTACCTCTTCCCTCAGGCTGCTGAGACCCTTATCCATGCTTTCATCACATCCAGGCTTGACTATGCCAACTCTGCTTGTCGGACTTTCTAACTCTTCCCTCCACAAGTTGCAGATTATTCAGAAATCTGCAGCTCATGTACTCTCCTGTGCCAAAGCTCTGTGTTCTTATCACCCCCACCCTCACCTGGCCGCACTCGCTCCCCATCTCCCAGAGGATCCAGTTCAAGAGCCTCATCCTCATTTTTAAAGTCCTCCATGGTCATACCCAACCTCTGCGACCTGCTAAAATCTTATCAACCTGCTCGCTCCCATCGCTCGATAGGCACTGACCTTCATTTTCCCTGCCCGGCTTGCCCTCCCATCTGCGGTCAGGCATTCAACCTTTCTGCTCCCACCCTCTGGAATTCCATCCAGAAATCCCTTCACCCTCATGCCTTCTCTTGCCTCCTTCAAGATTCATCTCAAGATCTTCCTCTTTGACTGTGCTTTTGGGCATCTTCCCAAACCCCTCGCACCCCTCCCCCACGCACACACTCTTCTTGAATCCAACCCCCAGCTCGACTGTCCAGAACTTTGTCCTTCCAATTTTCAGTTACATAAAACCTGTTAGAATCACTGCTTATTACAAGCAACATTGGAACTACCCTGAGTGAGGGGTGCTATATAAATGCAAGTTGCTGCTGCTGTTGTACAAGCAACATTGCGACATACATTGATGGCAACTGAAAATCTATGAAATCTGGATCTTGTTGAGCTTGATGTGCAATCAGTTTGAAAATGCAATTCGTGGAATGTATTCGTGGAACACCAATCAATGTTACTTACAACTGAAATATCCCAGGGACACTTTATGTATTGTTTTATTTATTGGTCTTTCTTATATTTCTCTTTTCCCATCCTCTATCCCAAAACTATTATTTGTAATGGGAAGTAATGATGATTGCTGTAAGGGAATTGTTATGAATCTTAGTGTATTCTTATGTCTTTTGTTTATTTGCAGATGAAATCGGTGGCTCATTTACCATGGAAGGCTTTCATGTACAAAGTAAGCGTTTGGGACCATGTATGGCTTTTACCCTTTTACAATTGCAAAGCTATCGATTTAGGAGGTTCTTTAATGTAGCTTGAAAATAGATTATAGTGCTTAGTGATGACATTAATATCTCATCAGCTGACAGTGTCGCATGCACAGAAAAGCATGTGTTGTAAGATTTATATTCGATGATGAGGCTGCATTTAGTTCCTGGCTTCATTCTTGTTTCTTCATTCTATTTGTTTATTTTAATCTTGTTCACAAATCACCAGATGCAAACTTGCTGAGTCATCACAGAGGGCAGCTGAACACATTTTAAGATGCATTGTGCAATATGACCACTTTTTTGATTTGACCTAATGTTCCTGTTTGGGTGTAACAGTCGTTCTCTTATTGTATTTCAGGCATTCAATACCTTCATTGATGATGTCTTTGCTTTCATTATCACTATGCCGACATCACACAGACTGGCATGTTTCAGAGATGATGTTGTGTTTCTTGTCTACCTGTATCAGAGATGGTAAGGCTTTCCAATATTTGTTCTAATAATACATTCAAGCACTTCATAGAATCATAGAATTGTATAGCACAGAAGGAGGCCATTCGGCCCATTGTGCCTGTGCCGGCTCTTTGAAAAGAGCTATCCAGTCCAATCCCACTCCCCCGCTCTCTCCCCATAGCCCTGCAAACTTATCCTCCCCAAATAATTATCTACTCTTAACAGTTGTTATTGAATTGGCTTCCATCACCCTTTCAGGCAATGCATTCCAGGTTCAAACAGCACTTAAGCAAATTTTTTAAAATTTCATCTGAATTTCTAACATCAACTTTCATTAGGAAAGAATAGTTTAGAGGCCTGGATTGCTTCATTGTGTTGCATGTCTGTAATTTCACTTCCTGGCTTTAAATTCGGCCCCAAAAAATGATGGAATGTTTATTCCACTGTGTACTGTAAACATCTGAAGTTCTATTTCTTCGATAATTCTACTGAAGCTGCTTTGCATTTTGTGATGCATTACAGCAAGCTGTTTGTATACTACACACTGCACCAACATTGTTTTTTTGTGTTAGTTTAGAACTTATTTTACATAATGTTTTCTGGGGAAGTGTCAGGTTGAAAAACATCCTCTTTATATCAAGTTTAAAATTTGCTTCTCATTCCAGAATAGATGCTGCCAGCTGATCTAAACGGCATTGCTTTGTCTAAATTTACCTGACGTTTGGTCGAATTTGCTTTTTCGATTTCGTTTGTCAATTCCATATTTGTGACTGTTCATAAAGTTATTTTTACAACATTCATTGAAGAATTTTTTCAAGTTTATGTACATGTGGTCAAAAATCGGGTGTTTCTTCCTCTCCTCATATTTTTGAAGCTCAGTACTATTGAATTCTTTCGTGATTACTATTGAATTCTTTGCATGATTATCCCTTTGATAATATTAAAATGCTCCTATCAAAGTTGCTACATCATCCACCAAAGCTTCGAGAGCAGTATGGTGCAACAATCCCAATGATATCTGAAACTATATTTGTGCTAAGTGTGTGAAGATTAGCCCATCTTTGCCTATCTTCAAATTACACTTGAAGACTTTCTCTTTGACTGTACCCTCGGTCTATTTCCAGCTCGGTGTCAAACCACACCACTGTTAAGCGTTCTAAGACGCTACACGTATGAAAGGTGCTATATAAATGCAAGTTGTTGTTGCACTAAGTGTATTTACCTCCATAATTCTGACGTTCAACGTGTGTCTTTTATTGCAGGCTTTACCCAGTGGATAAAAGCAGAATAAATGAATTTGGTGAATCGTATGATGAGAAAGAGACTGAGGGAAAACTGCATAAAGAATAATTTTTAAGATTGGACTTCAGCAAGTAGCCATATCAAACAGCTCGGCTGCTTATGGCACAGCTTCTTTCTTTATCTTTTCTTTTGGGACTGCAGTATGGATAGATTTCCAGCAGTGCAAACCTTTGGGATTTGTAATTTTTCAAATTCTGGATCCCATCTCATAATGGTTAAACAGTATTACTCTCAAATAGAGCTTAAACGCAGATTTAAAAATATTATGTTGTTGTATAGCAACACAAGATAACTTTGTAACTCCATGATATTTGAGTTAAGGTCCAAGAAAAAAAATTGGCTTGGGCTTTTAACTAAAAGAAAGCCTTTTGAGGTAAGAAGTGGTGCAGGATAATATTGCAACTTCATAAGGACTGGGTTATTTTAAACTCTTGCACTTGTACTCGGGCTTGATATCAGTTTACTAGCCTGCAATTTTTTTTTGAGTCATGGAGTGGATTTATGCGACATTTACAATGTGAATGGCTTATAGCAACTAATGATGTCATTGCTTTGATGTTGATATAGTTAATAATTGCAAGAGCTGTAGTTCTCCATCCATTGTATTAGTAAATCAATTGTGATTTGGCCAAATGAATGAATGTTAACTCAAATTGTTTGGCATTGTGCAGCTTTTTTGTTGCTTCATCTTGATCACTTCATTGATTTATGGAGGATACAATGGTTTGCAAGTTTAATGTTTGGAAGCGGCAATATTTTGCTTGACTATGTTGGATTTTCAAATATTGAACTACCTCCTCAACACTTTGCTTTACTGAATGGAATCACCTGGTTCATTGTTTAATTTTAAATCATTTTTAGCTTAATGAAAAGAATCAATTAATAAAGAGGAACCAATTTTCTCTCATGCCAAAATATGGTAGTATTTAAATTGATATATTTAATTGGCCATGTATAACTTAATACAGTATCAGTTTTCTGGGGAAGTGTCAGGTTGAAAAACATCCTCTTTATATCAAGTTTAAAATTTGCTTCTCATTCCAGAATAGATGCTGCCAGCTGATCTAAAAGGCATTGCTTTGTCTAAGTTTACCTGACGTTTGGTCGAATTTGCTTTTTCGATTTCATTTGTCAATATGCATTCCATATTTGTGACTGTTCATAAAGTTATTTTTACAACATTCATTGAAGAATTTTTTCAAGTTTATGTACATGTGGTCAAAAATCGGGTGTTTCTTCCTCCTTTCCTCAAATTTTTGAAGCTCAGTACTATTGAATTCTTTCAAAAAATAAAGTAATAATAATAAATTGGTTATTTCAATCCATAACTGTTTCTAGGACACTGCTGTGCGCAATTAGCTGCTGCGTTTCGCCCACAAAATATATAAAATATACAGTTAATTCACTTTTACAGTACATTCTTGAAGATATGATAAGGTGCTTATCAAATGCAAGGATTATTATTCTATTACATTTTAAAACTTCAGTAATTTTTGCTATTTTTTAAGTATACAGGCCCCAAATTGGATGCGTAATAAATTATTGCTACTACGCAATACTAACTAAGCCAATGCCAGAGCATTCCAGAGTAACAATTTGTAAAATAACTTCCATATCAAGCCTCTTGTCCATGTGCTTTTTGTGAAAGCTGCATATGATTGCAGCTGCAATCTGCTTAACCCAACTATATTTAAAGTAGGATTGTAACATTGGTGCTTCCAATGCCAATTAAGAAATGAGCAACTATTGTGTGGTGCACAAAGATTTGTTGGTCTACATAAGGTTATTTTGTGTGTCTGCATCCACATTCAATAAGGAATACATATATGCAGGTTTATGATTTACTGCTTTTTTTCGGCTATTTTTTCACACAGAATTGCAAGTAATTAAACTCCATAGTGCAACTAATATAAGATGCACTATGGATCATCTTATATTGGATAGAACCATAATTCAAGATCATAATGATAAATTTCTGTTCTTTTGCATTTTGTCTTATTTTTTTAACGGACAAAATATTCAAGCGAACCTGCATGTTGTGCGATGCCATTTTAAGTAGTACATGTTTCTTTCTTTCCCACGTATACAATGGCTGTGTAATGCACTTGTGTGTGAAACCAAAATCTCTAATTTGAGATCACAGTAAATACACTCAGAACTTAAGACTTTTTTGCATTCCATCCAAACTTTGATAAACCTTATATCAAATGCAAGGATTATTATTAAACTCAAATGAGGCAGTGTTATTCAAATCTTGTCGGACTAATAATTCTGATTTGAGTCGATGGATTTAAAACCAAGGAGAAAGACCCAATCACTGCTGACTGATTGAGGGACAGTGCTGATTTCAGAATTCACTATGACCTTCCCGAGATGTGCAGGCAGTACTGAAGAAAACAGTGAAGCTGATCGTCACTGTTAAGAGGGATTTGTTATTTCAATAGTTAGTTAGGACTTGTGCTTTCAAAAAGGACATCTTGGAGGGGTTCTTAATGAAGGTAAGATTTACTCCTGATAACTTGTCACTACCAGTTAAGTCATGATGCTGTCAATATCCCACCCTTATTTATATATGTATTTATACATATGCCTAACTCGTCACTCCTGATAGACCTGAGTTCAATTCCAGGCAGGGCGAAACCTTGGGCAAGTTTCCTTACTCCACACGCCTAATAATAATCCCTCCAAAAACCCAAAACAATAATAAATTGGTCATTTTCAATCTACGACTGTTTGTGGGACATTGCTGTGCGCAATTGGCTGCCGCGTTCACCCGCAAATATATAGTCAATTCACTTTACAGTGTGTTCTGTGAAGCGCTTTGGGACGTCCTCCCGACGTGAAAAGCGCTGTATCAAATGCAAGGATTATTATTATCGTCATTGAGCCCTTTTCTCTTGGAGTGACGAGTTATCTGGTGTTTGATGTTTCTAAGATGTGTGCAATTGGCTGCTGCATTTCACCCATAAAACACAGTCACTGCACTTTACAGTATATTCTGAAGTGTTTTGAGACGTGGTAAAGCACAATATCAAATGCAACGATTATTATTATTTATTATAATTACAGTTTCTACAAATTATTACTGTGCTTCCGGCGATCACCAGGATCAAAAAGGTTCATCCTAATCCGGCTTCTGCACTTAGAGATACTACACTGTGTGAAGCGTACTATATAGATGCAAGTTGCTTTGGTACAGGTCCTGGCAAACCAACCATCAGAAATGTGTCTCTTTGGAGTGGATCTTTGAAATTTCAGCCACCATGTTGACAAAATTTGTTTTGTAGTTTAACAGCCACTGAATTTGTACTTGGCTGACATTCCAGTTCAGTGCATAGCATTTTTGGAGGTACTGAACTTCATCTAAGATGTTAATTTGATGTCCTGTCTGCCTCTACAGGTGGACATTAAAGATCCCATGGCACCAATTCAAAAGAAGGAAATTTCTCCTGGCCAACATTCCCCCCAAATAAAATCGGGTAATTCACTTCATAACTGTTTGTGGGACATTGTACGCCATGTTCACCTGCTAAATACACGCTCATCACACTGCAGGATCACCTGTGAAGTACTTGGAGATGTCCTGATGTGAAAGGTACTGTATCAAATGTAAGGATGTCTGAAGCTACAGGCGATAAAAATTATTCCACTAAATATGGAAACTGGTTGCTTTTGTGCATCATCATAAAGTTTCGCCCACAAAACATAGTCAATTAATTCACTTTGCAGTATATTCTGTGAAGCGCTTTGAGATGTCTCAAGACATGATAAGACGCTATATCAAATGCAAGGATTATTATAACTGCTCCTCATTCCCAAGAAGAGTGGAGCCTAGGTTTCATTGAAGGAATAGTCGATTGCTTAATTGCTGATATCTTTTGGTGGCTCTTTAATGTGAGAAAATGGAATCTGCTGATTAAGTGTTCAGGGAATTTAAACATTAACTTCGTTTTGGACTCAATAAATCCAGGTGGTGTTATGTAATGAATTGATGTTTGAATTCCCTTCCCATGTAAAGAAGTATTGTACTTGCTTTCAACTTTTTTGACCAAGATAAAAGTAACTTGAACCAGAAAGTGAGCAAAACAACCTTGATGTCATTGTCACTTTTTTGATGTCTGCACTTGAAATTCTGCCGACATTTCTTCCCTATTTTGTGTTAGAAAATAAAATCAGCCATAATCCGTTTGCAACCACATATCAGAGTGTTTTATTATTATTCGTTTGTTATTCCGCAATATCCCGATGGGTCAGACCAAAGGCCGGTACAATCAAGAGATCTTATAACAGAACAATACCTCCGTAGATATCTCGAGTTCAACACTGTGCCTTTGCAACACACAAGCTTGATTCTTCATGCTTTCAGTCTTCTTGCTTACAGCTTTCAATCTTCCATCTGATATCCGCAGTCTTAGTGTTTCCAGCTCTCAGTCTTCCATCTCCTGTACCCTTGTCTCCGCAGCCCGGGACGGTCCCGTATCCTTGTCTCCGCGACCCGGGACGGCCCCGTACACAAAGTTATCGGAACTCTTATACCAATGTTGGTCCAATCATGGTGCGGACATTAGATCACCCGGTCAAAATCATGCTGGGTTCACGTGAACACCTCATGGTGTGTACGTGCCTCAGTACACATACACATTGTCCTTAAGACCCCTGTTATCTGATGCTCGTTATTTTGTTAGGTGGGATCATTAGTACATTCCTTTTAAGTGACTGGTTATTTCTTATCAGTATCCCAGGATGGTACCAAGGTCCTCTTGTTTAAGCAACTTGCTCTTTAGCTGCTATTCCTGAGGGTTGCCTTTTGTTGCTCTTGAGTGTTAATCATGAGTGTCAGTCTAGTTGCCCCCCACACTTAACGTAAAAGTTAACCCGTTCGCAACATCTATTATGATTCTAACATTATACAAAAAGTGTAAATTCTAACATTTGTTCATGGCATTATCATCTTCTTGTTCATTAGACAAGGTTACCTTTGGAGCCAGTATCAGGTGTAAAAATGATAATTTTGCCAATTTTCTCTCTTTGAAAGCCACCTGACCCTTGCTGAGAGTACAGTTCCGTAGCTGGCATCAGACTTTTCCAAACGGCCGTTCTAGATGTATGAGCTCAGGCCATGAATCTGTGACAAGCTGTTTTACTGTGGAAGGATTTCCAGTTGTGCCTAACTCGATGTCTATCTACTTGCACTTTCCAGCAACAAAGGCACAATTTTTTTAAAAAGTTGGTTGATGGTTGGGAATGGGAAAAGTATCTTTTTCTCCTCTCCCAAACCCAGGTTCAAACCGACTGCTACTCATTTTGTTTTTAGCTGTACTCCTGTAGCTTTTAGTTAATTATGAAACCCTTCAAAGTTAATATCACACTTGCACTACTGTTCACATCATTTAATGTGTCAGTGATGTTTTACCATAATTGATGAATGAGGACAAAAAGTAATTTTCTTGTACTGGAAAGGCGAACAACAGTCAGTCTATCATGATTTTTTTTGTCAGGGGAATTTAAACATTAACTTCCTTTTTGGACTTAATCAACCTTGCGTTTTCTCTTTTCATCTTAACCTTTTCTTGAGAGAAACAGGAAGTGGTGTGTTGTCTTTGAAAGTTTGAACGAATGAAGAGAACTGTCAAACTAGTTCAATGACCAAGTACAAAGATTTCTCTTAGTTTCTTTCTGACCTACAGCAATCTAATGATAATAATAATCCTTGCATTTGATATTGCGCCTTATGTGGTTGAAATGTTTCAAAGAGCTTCACAGAATATACTGTAAAGTGAATCGACTGTATTTTGTGGGTGAAACGCAGCAGCCAATTCTGCACAGCAGTGTCCCACAAACAGTTGTGGATTGAGTGACCAAATTATTATTTTTGGAAGGGATTATTACCCCCAGAAAAATGATCTGCCAATCAACAACAACAAAATCACATTTATAGAGCGCTTTTCATGTCGGGAGGACCTCCCAAAGCGCTGAACAGTCAGGTGTTGGGGCCCGAGCATGGGGGAGGGGTGGTGTAGGGGTGAGGGAAGGCAGAGAGGTGGGAAGGAGACCAAAGGCACGATCGAAGAGAAGGGTCTTGAGACCGGCCTTGAAGGAGGTAAGGGAGGAAGCGAGGTGAAGGGACCGTGGGATGGAGATCCAGAGTGTGGGGGCAGAGAGGCTGAAAGCCCAGCCACCGATGG